ACTATCAGCATGTTTGTTCTATGTAAAAGCTCATTTCTATTAACAATTATGGAAAGAATTAATTATAATTTTAGTTTGTGGGAACTTGTTCCATCTCTTATTATACAATTTCGTATTTTCATCGGTTGCAGCAGAGAGAAACAAAGCCTTTATGTCATTAATATGATTGTTATTGTTAGATTTATCATGGGAAGTCTATCATTTGGCTAATATATATTTTTTCAAAACAAGAATGTCAAAACATCATTTTCATATATACAGTAGTGGTTTTTTTTTTTTTTTATGAAATATATATTAGTATATTTTTCTCACTGCATTGGCATCATTTATGTAATATATAATAGTGTACTTTTTTATGACATATATAATTTGATAAAGTTTATATTTTTAATTTCAACTGATATTATAAAAAAATTAATCAAATATGTGATATAAAGATATTTGTTATGATATATATAGGTAAAATTGTCACTGTTTGTTATATATAATTTGCTTTTTAAGGAGTCATAATATATATATATATATATATATATATATATATATATATATATATATATATATATATATATATATATATATATATATAATCTAAAAGAATTTAACAATTTAACAATAGGGATCATGGCTTGAAATTTTGATACACAAAACAAATTTTGTTGTAAAAGACCGTATTTCATTCACTATAACAGTTTTAATTGAATTTTCAATATTTCAAAAGTAATAATCAATAATTAAAAATAATATAATAAATTATTTATTAAAATGTAAAATATTTTTCATATTTTAAAATATATTTATGTTACATATTGTAATTTTATAAATAATTAATTTATTTAAAAGTATAAATTTATTACAAAATTTATATTAAACTTCTTTATATTAAAATTTAATAATTTATTTTTCTACGTCTCTTAAAGATTCCTCAAAGTTTATATGTATATTTATTTTTATTTTTTTTAATTTAATGAATAATATTTTTATTAATTTTATGAAGCGAGTGAGTTTCAAATATTTTAAATTGAAAATTGAAAAAATGGATGAATGAATTTGAAAATATATAATTTTTTTAATTTTATATTATGAAATTCGAAATATAATTTTATTATTAGTGAAAAATTATTACGAAAAACTTTTTAAAAACTAAATTCAAAAATATTTTTTCACATCTAAGTTTCGGATTCATTCGTTATCTTTCCAAAAAAAAATCTGAAATTTATTTATTTTAAGGATAATAAACGGGAAGAATTGCTTATATTATTGTTTAACAGGATAATTGTATTATAAGTTATATAATATAATAATAAACAAAAGATGATAAATTTTGATAAAAATACATAAAATAAAATCACATATTATGGTAAAAACCCAGTGACATATATAACAGCTATTGTTGAATTATGTGATTTTTGTTTCGAAAAGAAAAAGCAGAAGAGAGAAATTGATGAATAGTATCATTGAAGAAATAAATACAAACATGTCAAATCAAAAGTAGGATGCATTGGGAAGAACAGAATAATGATAGGGCTATGAGAATAGCTAAGCTTTTGCAGTACAATGCCTTTATTCTTGTGTTTCAAAAATACATTAAAATACATCTTTCTCTGGTGAGGTTAGGAAACAACTAAAATCTTTTACATGTTTATGTGTTTTCCTGTACAGGCTGTTGCTCTGCATACTCAACATGGCTTCGGCAATTCTTTGGATTCTGTGGTTTCATTCCATTGGTGCAAGAAGTCTATTGTGGTTGGAGTCCCACACCGCTTGATCTCAACAAAATATTACTGTATATAATGAGACGAACCACTATAAGACTTATACCTTCGGGGACATCCGATAAAATTGAAATTTTTCTCTGTTGTGTTCATTAAATCATTACCATAATAGTCTAATATTTTTCTTATGTCTAGAAGAAGTTTAGGGTTTTGTAGACTCAGCTCTGTATAAGGCATATTGTCTAGTGTAAAATTTTGGTTGTCATTTGAACCAATATTTTGTAGTGGTTTTATAGAATCATCATCAGATTCTAAATGGTAGTTATGAGATTGAGAATCGTCTGATTCTACACTCATGTTTTCAGACCTTAGGGTTTTTAAGGGTTCTGAGGTTTCAGATAAATTATCCAATATATCTTCATCTAGATAAAATTCATCTAAAAATCCACTTATAATGTCATCAAAAGATTCATTATCTATTGTTTCAAATCCTATCATAGGACTGTTTTCGTTTTTAGGGATAGTAAAAATACTATACCTATTATCCTCTGACCTATCTTGTTCTAGGTCTAGGTTTGACAATGTTTTTGAGAACTAATCCTGTAGTTCTCTGTGTTCTACTACCAAAGTATCTACAGCTTCTTGGTAGTCTCTATCCGCAATAGGGTTAGCTAAATAACCCCAAGGGTTTTTTCTACGTGACCTAAAGTATCCCATATACTCTATACTGCCACATAGAAATATCAATCTTTTTAGTTTTCTAGAAATCTCTTCTAGAAAAGTATCTATACTGTCTAGTATAGACTTTTTATATCCCGCTAAAGGGAAATTTATAATTTGTTCAACAGCTATCAGAGCTGTCTTATAATCTTTATCTAAAATGTTCTGTTCAACAGCCTATCAAAGCTCGTTTTATAGTCTTTGCCTGAAACAGTACGTGTAGTGCCTACCAAAGGTCGTGTGGTGAAAGGCCTAGAACCTTCCATTAAAATTTTTAAAACAAAAATAAACTTAAAAAAAAGGAGGAAAATCGAGAGAGCAAGAAAGTAAGGCGAGATAAGTGGAGAGGGATAAGGGAATCCAAGGAATACACCGTAAAGCAATATTTATAAAAGAATATAGATAATCATAAGGCTTAAATGAAAATCTTTTTGGTTGATTTTATACAATTTTTGGTTTTTATATTTTTTTTTATAAAGTGATAAAAAGAAAAACACACAAACAAACAAGAAAGAGAATTTGTAAAAAAACGAAAATATTTTTCTTTGCAAAGACTGCCGCAATATGCAAAGTATTTTCTCAACCCACAAAGGTACCCAAATATTTTTACAAAGACTGCCGCAATATGCAAAGTGTTCCTCAATCCACAAAGGTAGCTACGCGGGACTTAGGGTCTCGTGGCACTCCCTGGCCTTAACCTGCCCTACTACTGACTGGATATCCTAGCGAACACAAGCCAGTTCAATTGCAAAAATATCCAGATACTGGCTGGGTATCCCAGAAAACACAAACCAGTTCAATTGCAAAGAACCATATTCAGGTAACCAAGAAAAGTCCTTGCTCTGATACCAAAGAGAGGGGGAGAGGAACAAGAGGGGTGGAAACTCAGATAACTGAGTACCCCAAAAATAAACGGTACAGAGAAAGCAGGGAAAACCTGCTAAGATACCAGAAGGGCAAACAAGACAGAGAAAACTGGGGATGATCCCAGAATAAACTGCCCTGAAACCCGAAAGGGGGATGGAAAGGAGGAAAGTAAAGAGACGGAAAACAAAATAAATTAAAACATGTTATAACTCTTTATCTCTTCTGTCGGTCAACGTGGCTACTTAGCTATCAGAGAACCCGAAACCGGGCTAGCTAAAATGAAGACTGTCCGAGATAAAGTCGGTTATAGCAAGAAAAGTGTTCACAATAAGATTATGAGATGACTGAATCTGGCATAGCCGGTTAGACATCTCCTCATAAGCTTACATGAACGAAATTAAATGCAGAAATTTAAAGACAGGAAAGATAAACACACAAGTCCATGATAAGATTATGAGATGACTCGAATACAGCGAGCCGGTTAGACATCTCCTCATAAGCTTATATGAACACAAATAAAGTCTGTACAAAAATTATTTAAGCCTTTAAATGATTATCGCATCTTTAAATAAATAAAGCTTAAGGCATCCGAGGACGCCCTTATAAGAAAACTACTCCATAAGGGGGAGCAGAGAGCACTTACTTGGGGGAAGAGAAGGAGAAGGAGAGGGGAGATGCTGAATAACTTCTCTTATTGATAGTAAGAAATTTACATGAGGATTTAGAGAGAAGGAGGAGAGACTTGTCTAGAGAGAAGGAGGAGAGACTTGTCTAGAGAGAGGGAGGGAGGTTCTTGCCCAGCATAAGGGACTTATGGAACCTTATATAGAAAATGGAAAATATTAAACTAATGAATAGTAATTTACATGTGGGACCCACTCATGACTTATGGGTCTCAAAACTTAACAAAGAAGAAATCCTACGGAGGAAACTTCCTCACTAAGAAACAAAAATAGTAAAGTGAATAGTAATGGGCCTAGTGGGCCCAACAAATTTGGTTTTTTTTTTTTTTTTTTTTTTACATTTTATCAAAAGACTGATTCAATCTTACCGTCATTAACATGCAAGGCTTAATGGGCCTAACAACATGTAACGGAAGAGGAATCGTGACAAGGTAGTAAGATATCATTATCTGCCATTAACCTTATCGTCTTTTGATACAGCCGTGTATGACGTAAGGGATTACGTCATGAGAAGCACCTCGAAACCTTCAAGGGCAAACTAGTCTTTGTGGGGCTAATGACGTGGGAGATTACGTCATTAGGAGTTCCTCGAAATCTTCAAGGGTAAATTCGCCTTTATCATAAAGACGCACAAATCGAGAAATGGTCCAAATTTTTTTTCAATTGTTCTGTTTATCGGTGTTTCGTTATTTTTCATTCTTTCTTCCGTAGTAACTTGTACTGCACAGTGCTTACCTTTCCTGACAAAGTTGTGTTTCCTGAAAGTGGGGAGGTATTCGTTTTACATTACAAGATAAGCTGCTGACATAACTGGCTACTTTCATGTACTGAAGGTTTCATACATTACAAGAGTTTATGTTCACGAGTGATTCAGTTGTCTAATAAGAATGATGGTAACATGATCTTCAATCTTAATGTTTCAGGTTGATTGTTAATGTATTTCAAACTTCATTATTTTTCATTTGTATGCTAATTCGTCATTTTGTTACCTTGGTTCAGTTGTCTAATATGAATGATGCTAGCATCTTTTCTGTTCTGCTTTGAGGAAAGCATTGTCTTCCTCTGTATAGAATGGGAGATGATTCTTGTTTGCTTCAATTAGTCGTTGCTTTGAATGTAATATTTGCCATTGGCAATCCACATCATCTGATGAGCTTACCGTAGTATCAAAATAATAAGAGCATCAGATGAAATCGGAAGAGCATAAAGGCCATTAGCATACTTAATTTACAGTATCTCTTCACTGTTTCATCCCTTGAAAATTTTAGTTTTTGGGAACTTCCTGCATATGTTCTATATCTTATTGTAGAATTTCATATTTTCATCAGTTGCAGCAGAGAGAAACAAAGCCTTTATGTCATTAATATTATTGTTATTTGATTGTTATTGTTAGATTTATCATGGTAGTCTATTTGGCTACGTACTGACTTGATATATAATTCAAGCTTGGTAGTATTAGATCTTTCTTTGCGCCTCTGCTATTGTTATTTCTATGGCACATATTCTTCAATAAACATGCTTCTGTATTCTGCAATGGATGATGAATCAACTAGATTTTAAGCTAATGTAACAATGCACGAGTTTTTATATTCAGCATTTTCAAAATTATATGTAAATAAATAAATTGTCATTTTTTTATATACATTTGATAAGAAATTATACATATATTTACATTAAATTGATTTATTATATTTTTTTAATTGAATAACTGTTTCTAAAAATATTAAGTCAATTGAAGTTTATTATTATTTGTTTATTCTCCAACTAATAATGTTGATGTATATGAAATGTTAAAATTAATAACATCAAAACAATAGTTTTTTAAAGAATCTTTGATTATATGGAAAATTTTGTCCCACAATGAATAACTTTTGAGTAAAGCAAATGTTTACATATCTACGTATGATAGTTCTGGCTATGACCTTACTTGAACAGGATCTGTTCTATAGGCTCGTACTTCTGTATCCTTGAGATCTAAGGAGACAGGAACCGTAGTCTGGTGGATGACATTGGCCCCTGTGATCAGATCGTGATTAATGAATGGTCTGATGACCTTCTCCTTGGAGCAATGATATTGCTGGCTGTAGAGGATCGTTCCCAGCCTTTCATCATGGCCATGGCTTGGGATGGTCACAGGGTTGTCTGACAGACCCCTCCAAAATTCCTTTTGCTTAACTGGATGGGGTAACATAAGAATTTGGAACAAAAATTATTCCAGGATAAAGAAAAAATAATAATATAAAATCAGAAAAAATAAAATTCACATTAAAAAATTATATATTAATATTTTTTTATTAGAAAAGAAACAATATTATTGTATAATAGTTGAAATATTATTTTATCTAATATTATAATTTCTTTTAATAATAAAATTATATTGTTATTTATTTTCGATTTTTAATAATAAAATTTTATTATTTATTATTATTTTTCTTTTTTTAATTGTGAATTTTTACTTGTGATTCCTAACCAATGACACAATTAAATTTTGAGAAAAAAATGTTAAAAATGTAAAAAATTATGATAAGACTTTTTCTATTTTTCATTATATTTTCGGTCATGTTGGATAGTTAAGGATGGTTGGTAATATTGACGATCCTTACTCCAACCAACAACCTTAGATAATAATATAATAATAAATAATATTTTTATATTAAATTTATTATATTAATTAATTTATTGTTAAATAGATATTTTTGGAAAAGATGAATGTCAAAGCATTATTGCTAAATAGATATTTTTGGAAAAGATGAATGTCAAAAGCATCATTTTCACATACACAGTAGTGTATTTTTGTTATTGAAATATATAATAGTGAATTTTTCTCACTGCCTTGCCATCATCTATGAAATATATAATATAATAACATTTTATATTTTTAATTTTAGCAGCTCTTGTTGAATTATGTGATTTTTGTTTCGAAAAGAAAAAGCAGAAAAGAGAAATTAACGAATAGTATCATTGAAGAAATAAATACAAACATGTCAAATCAAAAGTAGGATGCATTGGGAAGAACAGAGTAATGATAGGGCTATGAGAATAGCTAAGCTTTTGCAGTACAATGCCTTTATTCTTGTGTTTCAAAAATACATTAAAATATATCTTTCTCTGGTGAGGTTAGGAGCCAACTAAATCTTTTACTTGTTCTTTTGTGTTTTCTTGTACAGGCTGTTGCTCTGCATACTCAACATGGCTTCGGCAATTCTTTGGATTCTGTGGTTTCTATTGTGGTTGGCGTCCCACACCGCTTGATCTCAACAAAATATTATTGTATTTAAAGAGGCGAACCACTGCAAAGCTTGTCCCTTCGGGGACATCCGATAAAATTGGAACGATACAGAGAAGATTAGCATGGCCCCTGCGCAAGGATGACACGCACAAATCGAGAAATGGTCCAAATTTTTTTTCAATTTTCTTTATTTTTCATTCTTTCTTCGGAAGTGAACATGTACTGCACAGTGCTTACCTTTCCTGACAAAGTTGTGTTTTCTGAAAGTGGGGAGGTATTCGTTTTACATTACAAGATAAGCTGACATAACTGGCTACTTTCATGTACTGAAGGTTTCATACATTACAAGAGTTTATGTTCATGAGTGATTCAGTTGTCTAATATGAATGATGGTAGCATGGTCTTCACTCTTAGTTTCAGGTTGATTGTTAATGTATTTTTAACTTCATTATTCCCCATTTTTATGCTAATTCGTCATTTTGTTACCTTGATTCAGTTGTCTAATATATGTTTTTTGTTCTGGTTTGAGGAAAGCATTGTCTTCCTCTGCACAGAATGGGAGATGATTCTTGTTTGCTTCAATTAGTCGTTGATTTGCATGTAATATTTGCCATTGGCAATCCACATCATCTGAGCCTACCGTATTATCAAAATAATAAGAGCATGAGATGAAATCGGAAGGGCATAAAGGCCATTAGCATACTTGACTTACAGCATCTCTTCACTGTTTCATCCCTTGAAAATTTTAGTTTTTGGGAACTTCCTGCATATGTTCTATCTCTTATACAATTTCAAATTTTCATCAGTTGCAGCAGAGAGAAACAAAGCTTTTATGTCATTAATATTATTGTTATTTGATTGTTATTGTTAGATTTATCATGGTAGTCTATTTAGCTAAATGCTGACTTAATGCATAATTCAAGCTTGGTATTATGAGATCTTTCTTTGCCCCGCTGCCATTGTTATTTCTACGCCACATATATTCTTGGAAATATTCTTCAATAAGCATGCTTCTTTGTTCTGATTTTTAAGTACTTTTTGTTTTTTCTTTGTTTAAGCTATATATGATTGAAGGGGAGGCACAGATGAAAATATTTTCTGCAATGGATGATGAATCAACTAGATTTTAAACTAATGTAATGCACGAGTTTTTATATTCAGCATTTTAAAAGTTATATGTAAATAAATAAATTGTCTTCTTTTCTTTTTATATTTTTGATAAGAAATTATATATCTATATATATATATATATATATATTTATATATATTTATATTTACATTATATTGATGAAATTGATTGATTATATATTTTTTAATTGAATAACTGTTTCTAAAAAAATTAAGTCAATTGAAATTTATTATTATTTGTTTATTCTCCAACTAATAATGTTGATGTATATGAAATGTTAAAATTAAGAACATCAAAACAATAGTTTTTATAAAAGTATATGGAAAATGTAGTCCCACAATGAATAACTTTCGAGTAAAGCAAATATTTATATATCTACGTATTGTGCTTCTGGTCACGACCTTACTTGAACAGGATCTGTTTTATAGGCTCGTACCTCTGTATCCTTGCGATCTAAGGAGACAGGAACCATAGTCTGGTGGATGACTTATGCCCCTGTGATTAGAGCGTGATTAATGGTCTGATGTCTCCTCTCTACGGAGAGGTGCTATCCCTGGCCGTAGAGGATCGTTCCCAGCCTTAATGGCTTGGGATGGTCACAGGGTTGTCTGACAGACCCCTCCAAATTTATCTTTTATTTTTCCTTTATTTTTCCTATAGTTTTTTCATAACTGGATGGGGATAACGTTAGTGTTTGAACAAAAATCTTTCTACATATATTTTAATCAATTTTATGTCAGATAGAGATGTAAGTTTTCATTTTATGTTAGATCAAGTGATATTAAGGTGCCTTCATCTCAACAAATGAAAGGTGGAAAAGATTCTGGACAAGGACATTGGACTAATTAGGAGAAGCAATTTAGCAAGGAATGTTGAAGTTTTAGGATTAACAGCTGAGAGTGGAGATCACTCGTAGCCTGTGTGAATGATAAACATTTATGATGATGTCAACCCAAGGAATACAAGACCTGCAATGTTTGTAAAATTATAGGTTGACACATTCATGAACAGGCTTTAAATAGGCATATATAAGTCATAAAGGAGGTTATTATAACTTATATTGATTTTATATTTTTTTAATCAAAATCTTATCATCTATTTGCTATTTTTTTTATTGAATATGTTAGTTGCTTTGAATTTTTATTTTTTTAAGTTCAATTTAATTATTTCATGTTTTTTAAAATACCTATTTTGTAGAGTTTAATTCCATCTAATATTAATATTATAGTTTTATTTTTCATCTTTGAGTGTGAGAAAATGAAATACGAGTGTGTAGTTAGGTTCCGCAGTGTGGGTTGAAGACATTCGGTGACAGTCGCTGAAACGAGACTGTTGCCGCCGATATTAATTCTTCTTCTCCACAAAACCCTAATTCCTCTTTTCTGACCTTTTTTTTTTCTCATAATCACATTCATGGCTGAACACAACGACCCCATCGAACCCACATTACCCTCCAAACGTAAGTCCGATCCTGATCCCAACCTCCAAGACCTCCCATCCAAAATTGCAAAGCTCGCTACTCCCAACCTCAAAGAAACCCAAGAACCCGAACCTAATGCTGACGACAACACTTCCCGACCTCCCAATTGTTCCTCCGACCCTAAGGAACCCCACAACGACGACGCCGAAATTCAAAACGACGATGTTGACGAAAAGGACCTCCAAAACGACGAGGAGGAGCACCTAAACGACGGCGAGGATGAAGACGACGATGATGACGACGACGACGACGAGGAAGAGGAGGAGGAGGAGGAGAAAGACGACCGAAAGGGGAAGGGGATTTTGCGTGACGACAAGGGAAAAGGGAAAATGGTAGAGGAAGATGAAGATGACGACGATGATGATTCCGACGACGATAGTGATGACGACGGAAGTGACTTCTCCGATGACCCGCTCACGGAGGTCGATTTGAATAACATTCTGCCGTCCAGGACTCGGGGGCGTACGGGGGCGGCGGGCGCCGGAGTGCGCATTGCCGGTGACACCGGGAAAGCGGCAGCAGGTGGACTCGGCGACGATGACGACGATAGCGACGATAGTGATGCTTGAATTATGCAGAGGTTAGTGAGGGTTTATGGGAGGAAATAGAAATAGTTTTCTCTACTGCGAGACAGAAGTGTTCTCTTTGTTTTCTTCGCGTACAATGCGGCTTTTGTTGTTCAGAAATTCTGCTCACGTAAATTGTGCAAGTGCTAGATGTAGCTTTTTTATTTCTCGTGCTTGGTAGGTAGTGTATGGATATTGATGTTTTGAGGTAATTGGAATGAACACTAAACTGAGAGAGAATGTTAGTTGATTATGCCCATTGGGTTTTCTTTTCAAGGTTTTTGAGGATTTGCTGAAGCCTATATTCTAATGACTGACAGAAGAACTTATTTCATTTGATTCTGTGAATAGCAAAATGCTTGAGTTGAAAATGGCTTTGTCCCATATTAAATGTTGACTTGAATAGGCAATGGAGTCTACTTCTTATGGGTTTAGTCTGTAATTCTTCTTGTTTTATAAGCTGTTGTAGACCCATTGTGCTAGAAATATGCAGATCTCATTCGACTGTATGTGTATTGGTGCTTATTTATATCCTGTTGTAGATTGTAACTGGGCTTCTCTAGTTTACTAGTAATCGCAATCTTCGGATTAATTTTATCTTTTTGATATTGCTACTATAAAAATGTAATTTAAAATAGTTATAACATACTGTGCAGATTTTAATATATTCATGGTCACTAGGTTTTGAATTTTGGGTCTTGATAACCCAAGATGTGGGTCAATGTCTGGTTGAGCCTACCCTAGATGCCTTTGTTGAGTTTAGTTCATGTGATCTAATGAATTTTCATAACTAGGTATGTTTCTAAAGATTAACTAGTTTAATATATTTTCAATTTTACAGGTAATTAGTTCAAATTCAGACCTTCTGTCACCAAATTTTCTGCTAAATAACTTCTATTGTGTTCATGGAAGACAATGTTCATAGGTGTAAATAGCTATTTCATAATGAAACTGAACAAATTCCTGATCGCACTATATGCTTGGTAAAAAAGTGAAATCTGCTACTGCAATAAGGGGCCTAAGTTCAAAATAAGCAATAATCAATTATATCCCCTTCAAAGTTTTAATTTATATAAACAAGTAGATGTTTCTGTTAGCATAATGCTATGCTTCTGCTATATAGTGAAGACAATTTAGCGCAAACTTTTATAGAACTTGTTTATCAAATTTTACAAGTTCACACGTGTTTTGAAGTATGCCCGATTGCCTATGTTATGCAAACAATCAACAAAATTTGCTTTTTCGGTCGAGGAAGAGGAACTTATTTTATTTCTCAAATGAGCCAAAAGTACAAAGGCACTTTAACATGACATCAGAAGCAATTTAAAGATAAGCATGAAATTGGTCCTTTTTCTGAGGAAGTAAATGTGGAAATATGAAAGAAAAAACTACAAAAGAGAAGCTATTTTAACAACTGGAACCAATGACATTGAAGGGAAAATGTATTAACCTTGTAGTACAAACACAGACATTTTTTTAAAACATAATAGGTTGTTCTTGTAGAAGCATTTATAAAATAAATATTACAAAAGGAAGTGTTCTTTTTAGAAGCAATAACTTTCACGACAAGGCCAAACAAATACGTAGTTACATGGAGAGCTTCTATATACGGATTTAAATTATCTGAGCTTTTCATTTTGCTTCTATCTGCGGATTCATCATTTTGTGGAAGGGATTTGAGGGGAAGTATTGAGTCTAGACTTGTTGGCTATTGGTTGCATTTACTTTTACAGGACAGAATATGTTGATGTCTTGCCGAGTGAGGATAGCGAGATATAAATAATGCCTAAGCATTTGTCTGTGTGTTTGGTTGTTCTACGGTTTCTGTTCCCAGAAAAGAAACCTTCATGGATTGGTGTATACATCATGCTTGATAAAGATGCTTAAATTACACCGATCTTTTTCTGTTTCGAAAATTTATAATTTCTTCTCTCAAGGGATGAAATGTGGTATGCTACACTCCATTTTAATGTCAATAAACTTTAGCAGCTTTCAGCTACCATGAGCGGGCCTCTTGAGCATTGTCCTCTCTTTTGAATACCCTACTATAAACTCTTGGATTATAGAAGATGAAATGTAATTCTCAAACTTTCATTTCATCTTCTAAAGCCTCAATGATGCGAAGAGTCCCGAACATAACTGTAATTGAATTGAAAGTGCAAAACAATCATCTAGAGAAAGAGCGTAGAATCTACTAACTGATTAATGATGGATTGTAAATTATATTGGTAGGTTCCACAGTCCTTTCTCTAATACATTACACACTCACATAAATCTTTATACTTTAACGTCACTTATTTTCTGTAAAATATGAAAATAATCAATCTAACTATAGAAATGAAGGAGAGGGTCAATAGTGGTGAATGAAGCAAAGATTGATGTTCATTTTATTCCATGGACAGGGTTGATCCATGTTCATGCAGACTAAAAAGCCTCTTGGAAGGTTTATGGAACTTTATCTGATATCTTGAATTGCGTTGGCCTGGCTCTTTATTTTTTACTGGGTGTGTTTTGAAGCCCTCAAATTTGACAAGAGTTGGTGTCCAAGACGAAACTGCGTTGAACTCGTTTCGAATGACTTATCCATACATCGAAAAAGAAAATGGCACAAGCGTGGCCATTTCTATTTTCTAAAAGGAGATTATATTTCGAGTAAGAATCTTATAACAACTTTATGCAAATTTCAATGTATGACGATTAGGCTTTATGTAAAGTAATAATAACTTTAAGAATAATTTGATCAATCTTGACTACGGAAGTTATGCTTTACGTGGCCCAAAGTTAGTTAAATATGACAAATACTGATTTTGTTTAAGATTTGTGTGATAAAGAAAGAGTTTGATTTGCGTCACACCAAATTCACAATGTTTTGGTTCGTGAAGTTTGGGGTTACAATCACTCAGAATTGCGTCCGAATTAAGAATGGGACCGATTCTCAATTATCTTTTCAGCCACCATATAGACACTGTAATTTTAAAACGTTTTTGGTAATATTTTGAGAATATATACTTTTTATTTTTCTAAAGATTCCAAAAACAAGCCCTGATAAACTCATTCAACCTTTATTTTTATTTTTTTTTACCCCTACCTATTGAATCCTATATTGTTTTTGGCAACCACTACTATCTTCTCACTTACATGTACTCATATAAAGTTACTAGAGTTGCTGATAGGGCAATGTTTGGTCAATGTCACAAACCTTTTCTTTTTCCTTTAGAAGATACTAAGTCTCACACAACTACACATAAATGTCTTTTAACAATAACTTTTTGTCTCTTTCTTTTAACAATAATCTCCATAAACATTATGATTATTTTTAATTTGCTTTACATAATAATGTTACAATGTTTCTAGTTTGAGATATTAATGTAGGTCTTGAAAAAATTGAATTTGGTGGTCCATGATTCTGGCTAGTAGCTCTTTTTT